AGCCTCCAATTCCACTCTGCTCTTGCCCCTTCCTCTTTGTTTCCACTTTGCATTTTGTTTTCCTCAGTAAGAAACTCAGGAAAAAAAACTTTCTTCTCTTAAAGAATTCTCACCAAGTAGTAAAATCTTTGTGTATATAATGTTTGGTCAAGTAGATCTGACATTCAACCACAACTGACTACTGTTATCAGATAATTCTAGGACTATGTAGTGGGAATATCACAATGAATTGTTGCAGAACAGAGCTTAGTAGAACCAATAAGTATTAGATTTCATCTCCTTCTGATTCACAATCTTCAAATATTTTATCTTGTTCATAATTGACATAGACCTAATAATAGTTCTTAGTTGCATGTCCTGCTAGATCTACTTTCCAGAAGTTACACAAATACTTTTAACCACAAGAATCCAAGGAATGTGTCTCTTTTAGCTGTCAGAATCTGGACATGAATTCTTTTCCTTCTAGTTTCATAAACGACCTCCAAATTTTTTTGTTTTCAATGCTCTTTGCTTATCACTTACAATGTTTAGGATCGGATATCTTTTTTGTATATAGGAAATGTATTCTTAGGATCATTTGAATACTTGATTTTAATGTGTGATTAAAATACATTGATCACTCGCCCTAGAAAAGATTCTTATAATTATTTTGCTTATTAAGAACCAAGTTTCTATCCTTTAATGCTGAAGTCCCTTCAATTGTTGAATTCTTTGACCTGGTAAGGTCATGTGTGTTTTGTCATTATGGAACATGTACTCATTATAAACAAGTACTAATCAATGACTTCTTGAAAACAAAAAGTACATTCTGGGTTAAACAATAAACCATAAATATTGCGTAATTGATTGAGCATTATGAATATATTGGCACATTTCTTCAATGTAAATAAAATTTTTAAGTTTAATACTTGGATTTAATTTGGAACGAAGCATAAAATTTCAAAAATAAATTAAGAAATATTAGTCAAATAAAGATTGATAGGCAACTTAAGAGTTAATAGTGAAAAAAAAAAGATTGAATAAGTAATGAAAGAGGAAGAGAATTTAAAAACTTCATTAAATATATTATTATTTAATTTATAAACTTTATATAAATAGTAAATAGTGAATAGAAGAGTATTTATGAGTTAAAACACAATCAAATAGTAAAAAAAGGCATATATATATATATAAGAATATACAATTCTTAACAGCTATGTTTTTGTTAGTAGCAATAAAGATAAAATTAACCCTTTAGATTCATAGGTAAAAGCAAAAAAAAATGGTAGATTCATTTTTAAATGAATATACTTGATTTTTTTAAAATTAATTACAAGTTGATTCAAAGAAAATAATAACATCCTAGTTCCTACCCTTTACTGTTATAGTACATTAATGTAAATTTCGGATAAAATATATATGTATCATAAGAAAAGAAAATCCAACATGCTGCAACCATTATATGATCATTAAAGTAGATTTAGAAAAAAACTTACGGTAGATTAAATTGATATTTCATTGAGCATACCTTTATCAAGTCTCATTTTCCTCTTAATTAGATTCAATGTACAATGAATTGCATTCATACTCCCTCCATGAAGATTGCCATTAACCACATCATTATTGACAATTTTTCTCCCTCATAATATTTGTCAAGAGGACTTTTTCTCCCCTTATAATTTTGTTTTTAGTATCAAAAAAATCGAACACCTAATCCGTTATAAAGTTGAGAGTAGAGAATAAAAACAATTGAAGATGAGACATAATAGCCCTCTATTTTTCCACATCTTTTTTGCCAAAAACATGTTAATCTTTGCTAAAGCTTCTATGAATCAAATGTAAATCATTGAGAATTATTTCGATGCATTAAGTTATAGCTTAGGTTAGAAAATTAGCCTCTCAAAATGTATAATCTTTGTTTCTTATAATATCCGTAGGGAAATTGTATGTATATTAGTACCATTAGTATTATTCCGCTCACAATGTACATCAGATGATATTTGAGAGTTCCCTTTCTCCATACCCATACTAGTAAGAATACATATAGGGAAGTTGTTGATAAAATTCAAAAGAAGCTTGCAGGCAGGCAAATATCTCATCTTTCGATGGTTGAATGATGTCAAACATATTTTATTAACTATCCCATCCTTCACCAAGCAAACTTCCCTATTGCATGCTTCTTTAACGTCCTATATTGATAGACTTACTCTTGACTTCATTTGGGGATCAACCATCGATCATAGACCTCTATACATTTAATGAATTGGGATAGGATTTGTAAATCCAATTAGGATAGTGGTTTTAAAGTCCAAAAGATGCATATCCAGAATGAGGCATTTTTGTTAAGGCTTAGTTGGAGACTATTGAATGAGTCCAATAGTTTTTGGATGCAAACTCTTTAGGCTAAATATTTTTCCACTTGAGATGTACTAAATATTAAGAAATCTCTTTTAAAAGACTCACTAAGTTGGAAAAACTTCTTAAAGGAGATTAGAA